ACAACGGAAAGAGCGAGTGCTTAAGCTCATGCTTAAGGTAAATAACAACCTTTCGTATTTCACTTTGATCAAGAAAGAGAAGAAAAACATGCATGTGAGTATGATAAATTTACCATAATTGACGGCCAGTATGTCTAACTAATGAGAATGACAGACACAAGGTGCAGATAGTTGGACACGACGTGGTATGATAACACCACACGTTTACATATAAAGATGCAGATGAAAAAGAGAAGATTAATATGTCAAAATCTTATTAACACCCATATAGGTAAGAAAGTTGTCTTATAAAGATAGACAAAAACAAACCGCAAAGTACAGACTAGACTAGAAGTTTTAAGAAATACTTATGGGTTGTGAAAATCAGATGTGAAAATGAACAACAAACATCTGCATGAAACCATCAAATAAGCATGCACATATATGATCACATACTCTACACATGCACACAAGTACATATTAGGTGTTTTGTGGTCGTTATGCCAGAACGAAAGGGCTGATGGTTGTGAGTTATGGTCCTTAAAATCACAAAGGTAAGAAGTACATTGCTCTTTCTGTATAGAATTCATTGTTGCTTACTTCAGTAACGTGTGTAAGGATCTCATCGTTGGAGACTGGATTTGGATTCTTGACCTACCAACAATTTTGCACTTGTTCACCATGTTCTAGAGAATCAAAAGTCAAGAAACTCCTAATTTCTTAGGAATTTCTTGTTTAGGACCTTTCCTGTTTTCTGTTTCTTTTAGGTCCATCGACATAGAGTAATTCATCTATCTAACCCCCTTTATACCCGCTAATATATGTATTCTCACGCAATGTAACTTTAAAAGATAAAATCTACACCCGCTAATTGATTGGAGCCAGCATTGAAACTACCAATCTTACTCTAAAGTTACGCTTCAAACTCTGTTGAGAATGGTTGGTCCAAACCATTAATCTCACATGGAAAAATTGTACAACTCAACATGGGTATATAAGTGGGGGATTGTCTCCATATAGTAACGAGGCCTTTTAAGTTAAAAACCCCACACCTGTGGCCCAAAGGTGTTTAAGTTGGGGACAATATCGTTACTATATGCTTGGACCGGCAGACCCGGTTGGTGCTTAGGACCCGACCCGTGTGCTCTCCCCTAACAATTGGTATCAGAGCTTGATGGTGAATCCACGCACTTGTGAAGCAGTACTGGTAGCTGGACTTGGTGGAGTCAGGAAGAACTCGGTAGAACCTAAGGTGATGAGTCGCTACAAAAAGCGTCCCGATAGCTGGACTCGGTGGAGACTATGATGGAGTTAGACTCGGAGAAGTCGGAGGTGGAGTCTCTATAGTCCTACGTACACCCAGGGGCAGTCAAGGTAGTTGTGTCCGTTCCTCGAGTAAGGTAAAATAGGGGTGTACCTCGAGATGTGCATTGACCAAAGGTGGACGATCTTGTAGACAATGTTGAGTGGTGGTCTACATGGACAGTTCAAAGGTGGATTCATGGTGGACTAAGGTATAGGTCCAGGTGGAGCCGGGTGGATCGGTGTTAGTTCAAGGTGAAACCAAGGTGAACTGGTTTGAACCAAGGTGGAGATTGTTGAGAATGGTTGGTCTAAACATTAATCCCACATGGAAAAATTATAGAACTCAACATGAGTATATAAGTGGGGGATTGTCTCCACATTGAAACAGAGACCACAAAGTGCATCAATTAGGATGGATATACATAAGATAATTATTAATGGAGCAAGGAGTAGAGATAGGTTTAACAGAACTTGATTGAATGCAAATAAAAAGGATATCATAGTGGTTACTTAATGAGGAGAAAATCCTAAACAGAACTAAATGGAAGAATAGAATTCATGTAGCCGACCGTAAAAATTTGGAACAAATATTTGTTGTTGTTGTTGAGAATATGGAAAGCTTACAATGCATCATAATGGGAAAAAGGAGTAAAAGAGAGAGGAATCTAAATGACATGAATAGAAACAATGTCAACAATAAAGGTATATGACTTTTGAAAAAAATAAATATTATAAAGTACTTGGAGAAAGCATGTACCACAATGGAGTGCAGAGCAGCAGGGTTATCCCCTTTTGAAATCTTTAGAAATGTCATAGCCCTTCTCCATGCTGAATTATCCATGCTGCGTGCGGCAGTAGCAGATCCTTAGAAAAAGTGAAAATCACTTAATCAACACCATATGCTGTATAAAACATTTATCTTTCTGCTTAGACCCATGTCTTCATTTTGATATTCGCGTAAACAGCATGTTGAAGATTGGTGACACTAACTCAAGAAATAAGCATCAAAGCTCTTGGCAGTTGGCAAACTTATAAACTAGTGCCAATGACTGAAAACTAAATAAATAACTAGAAAATGAAAAAATTTAGCATCTGCAGATATTTAATTACCAAAATGAAGGTGAGAGGAAAAAGAAATGAACAACAAGAAAAAATATTACCGACCTAATCACTTCTGAATCAATGCTCATGACATCTCCAGATACAAGCTGATACTGATAGCGGCACTTGGAGCAAGAAGCAACCTGAAGTGGGTTGCTAAAAGGAGATTAGAGAATGTACATAATGTTCTAATGTTCTTTTCTATAGAGAAATAGAGAAGGTAAAGTTTTTGTATTCATCTAACCCTAACCTCTTTTAAATAGAGATTAAAAGGATATTACAAAATAGATATACTATAAAATCATATTGAATCAAATCTAATATTTCAATAATATCTCATACTATTTCCTAAATCTAAATACCAATAATATCTAACACTCCCCCTCAAGCTGGAGCATATATTACTATATATGTCTAGCTTGTTACAAATTGAAATAAAACAGCTAGTTGCGAGAGCTTTGACAATGTCATTTATGTTTGAAATACTTAAACATGTCAGCAATCAGAAAAATATAGTAACAATCAGTAGAAACCCTAGGAGAGTCAGCCAGTAGAAGCAACGTTGAAATCAATTATGTACTTTGCATCCAAACATCGGCAGATGACGAGGAGCGATATTGTTCACGGGGATCAATAGATGTGGGGTTCTTGTTCATCATCGAACAGTACGGTGATGAATAGTATCATTTTCCCTTTTTGAGTTTTCGATAAAGATTTAGTAAACAAATGAGATAGAATTCAAAGATGTTGTCGAAGCCACCGATGATGTTGTCGTAGCCGCCGAGGTGAACATGAAGGCCATGCAAAACCCTATCGACGGCCTCAAGATCTAGAAAGGTGAGAGAAGTTGCTAGGATTAAGTATGTTGTGAAACCATGTAGAGAAATAGAAAAGGCTAATATTATTATTCATCTACCCCAAACCTCTCTTAAATAGAGATCAAGAGGATATTACAAAATACGTATGAAATAAAATCATATTCAATCACATCTCATAATATCTCAACAATATTTCATAATATCTCCTAAATCTAAATACCAAATAATATCTAACACTTAGCAACCAATTTGATGTATGTAGAGCTCTCAATTGTTTGGGAGATCATAATTTAGCACAATGGCTCCTTCTGAGGCATGTCCCTATGCATAGCAGAGATTGTGAAGTTGTTGTGCATCTTTTCTCTTAAATCTAAATACCAATAATATCCAACATTTTCAACTTATTTGCAAAAGAAAGACCATCACAGACATTTAGCAAAAATGTCATGCCTAGCTTTTTGGAGATCTTGGACTAGTTAGCTAAAAGCTAGCATGAAAAAATACTCTTCAATTAACAAAGAATCTCATCTTTTAACCATAGATATGAAAATAGTGAATAAATGATGTAATTACCGAACAGTAAAAATCAAGAATAGACATATCTTTAAGGAAAGTGTTTTTTATTATATGATGAATAATGAGAAGGAATGACTGGAGATATAATAACGAACAGTAATAGATTCTATAACAGAAATTTACACTCAACACATACATTCAAATGAACACAAGAAAAGATAAGGAAGAATGTAGGAATCATTAAGTACGCCAAAGGCGAAGAAGCATCTGATGGCAACTAGCTATTCCAGAAGGAATATCTGTGAGCTTACTTGAATGCCTTGTTGAGGCTGCGCAACAGCAACCGCTATTGAACAGATAGGACATCTAACAATCATCCCAAATGGCACCTATAAGAAAAACATAAGATGTATAAATCATGCTTAAATTCTTCCTAGGAAACTTTTTTGATTCTACTTTCCATCAATACAACGATACTTAATAACAAATTATCTCAACCTATTTAGTGCAAACAATATTGCTGTATGAAACGTTCAAACGCCCTATGAATTATTCTATTCTCATATTTTAATTTATAGTTTTTCGTTTAGTCCCTCAACATCTCTATCTTTGTGTCATTTTCACCCATTTTTTATCAACTAGTAGCACTTTATCCTGATTTATAAATCACCAAATAACATCTGACATTTTGTAACTCTTAATGGTTTGTAATACATAATGACTAATTGAATGCCATGAGATTTTGTTATTTATCTACCTTAAAATTGATTGAATTCACAAAATTAAGATTGTATGGACTTCTTTCTCATCCAAAATGACAAGGGGCTTATCAATTTGTAAATTGTGAATAAAGCACATGCAAAAAGCATTTAAAATGGATTACATGTTTTCCATTTAAAATGAATTATATGTTTTTCTTCACAAAAAATATATAGGTCTCATTTAAAAAATTGGACAATTTACCCAATCTATTTCAACCCTAGAATGAGATACACATATTTATTTATGTCCTTGATTTTATATTTGTCACCTATACACAGTAGAGTTATATCTACTAATCTGATTTGTTGTATGAGCTTATCGGATATTTAAAACTAGCCCACGGTCTCGAACAGCAAGGGTGTTATTTTAAAGAATAAAAGATATTTGTCAAGAATGAAAGCAAGGAAACACCATATAGTTTGAAATTACCTCCGCCCCTAAAGAGATGCCCACTCGAGAAACATAAGTAATTATCATGATTGCATCTGAAACTCGCAAAGATGCTGCCAGCCCCTGAACAAGTAGAGAACATGTACGCACATCCGGCCTAGCCCAACTCCATCTATCAAGATCTGAGATCTTTTCACTCATGCCTAAACATATTGAAAGCTTTAAACCTCATTTTATAAATTAACCAACGCCAATAATACTCACAAGGTGATGTACAAAGAAATAATGTTCTTCGTATGCTTATTTAATCATGAATATATAAATAAAAAGCACAAGTACACTTAAAAAAACTAAGAACATGAACCAATATAGAAACTTATAGAAAAGAACAAACATCCCAACTCTAGGTAGTAAATCCCAATCATGTATCATTTAACCATAAGTGAACAAGAATTCAGCAAATAAATTATACATTCCGGTTATGTACGCTTTTCAAATTCAGATCATGCCATCAACTGGAAAGTAATTACCAAATTAAACAAATTAGGAAAGTTGAGAACAAAAAAGCAAGATGCTTCACCAAAGATTGGAGTCATTTATAACCAAGTTTCTCTTAACCTTCACAGTGAAATTACAGAATTTGTAATTTGGAAACACAACTTAATCATCTAATTTGACTTCCTTCTCTCAATCTATGAATTCATGTTATCAGAACCCATGTGTTGGGCCTGTTGGCTTTAGTAGTAACCAACTCCCCCCTTACCGTGTGAAAGTGAGTGCGCAGACATTATATCAAGTCAAACAATACCCAAGCCGAACCACCTGGGCGCTGAGATTTGATTCATTATAATTATTATATATATATATAATTATATATATATATATATATATATATATAATATATATAGAGAGAGAGAGAGGAGAGAGAGAGAGAAATATGGGTATGCTTGGTACCAAGCACAAATTTTGTGCTTGGTAGTGATGTGTCACATCCTCATCCATCATTACATGTGAATGTGGTCCACATTTGAATGAGTGGAGGGAGATTTGACACCTCACTACGCAAGCATAACTTTTTATGTTGGTACCAAGCATACCATATTTCTCATATATATATATATATATATATATATATATAATATATATATATAATATAATATATATATTATATATATATATATAAAATTTTTTTCCATAGGAAGAGGCAGTCTCCTACTACTTCTTCCACTTCTTCTTATATTCCTTAGATCTAATCGCCATCTCCTATTTGTAACTATTTATTTAGAGCTCGCAGTGACGCGATTATGTGGGGATATCTTCCGAATTCAGATGTAGTTATCCACGACTGCTAGAAGATTTCTGGATAGTGTGATGCAGCAGAAAAAAATATAATCTTCATTAGATATATCTAAACTCACGTGATTAATTGAAGATAGCCAGCATAAGATGTTGTGAAAGTGAGTGCGTAGATGATTTTATCAAGTCGGACAATACCCAAGCTAAACCAGCCTAGGCTAGGATATAGGTCTTATCCTATATATACTCATCTAGAGGTTCGTGAAGAGGCAGTCTCCTACTACTTCTCCAACTTCTTATATTCCTTAGATCTAACCGCCATCTCCTTTCTTTAATTATTTGTTTAGAGTTAGCAGCGACGCGATTATGTGGGGATATCTTTCGAATTCAAGACTTTCAAGTGCAGTTATCCTTCAACCGTAATTAGATTTCTGGATTGTGTGGTGCAGCAAGAAAAAAAATATGATCTTCATTAAATACATCTAAACTCACGTGATTAATTGAAGATTGTCTGCAAAGGATCTTTGTGCATGAAATACTCTGTATTTGTTGTGTTAGATTGCATCTAGTAGATTAGGTGACAGATGTTGACTACTCATATCCTATAATGCATGTTCAATAAAATATCATGTCTACACAAATAAGAGAGCTTGATTGATCAAATGGCCAACAACTAAGAAATCTAGACCTAACTAAAGATAAAATGTAGCTAACTACCATTAACAAATTATAGTATATTTCGCTTAGTTGTAATGAAGCAAGATACAGTATAATAGTATAGCACATCAAGTGATATGCAATGAGGTAGGTTGGTTAATCGGATTAGCATTTGGGATTTCGGTATACCTATGAGTGTTTGGACGGGTCATTGCGATAACTATGCAGTATGCAAGTGTGATGTGTTTGAATTTGATAGAGGAAGAAGAAGAGGAACAGAGGAAGAAGATAAAGAGAAGAACTCAAGGATAAGCAACAATAATTCTCGCTCCTCCCATCCTCTCCATTACAACAACTATATATAACTACACTAATATTATCTCTACTCACTAACACCACTCTTCTCTCTACAACTACCCACTAACACCACTCTTCTCTCTACAGCTACCCACTTATCCATGTTGTGAATATTGGTTGCACGTATCATCCCCCCCCCCCTAAGGATCATTGTCCGCAAGGATAGTGAAAGGAAATTGCTTTTTGCCTCTCTGGTTCTTGTTGAACATTGTTATCGCCATCGATCATGAATAGTTGTGGACATTTACAATGATGACCCGGAATGAACTTCTCATCACAATAGTAACATAACCCCTTCTCTCGACGGTCTCGCGCCTCTTGATTAGTAATTTGACGGAATGTTGTTGTAATAGTATTTGAACTTGCATTCTCATTCTGAGCTGGTGGAGGACCTAATACCTAGCTATTGGGTTGGGGGTGGTCGCATTTGATACCACGGAATTTGGTTGGGAGCAAAATGGTTGGCTCGGTTGCTTGTGTAACCGATTTCGTTCCTTGATTAGTCGAACGACTCCTATTGCATCTGCCACGGTCTTAGGCTACTTAATTTTTACATCGAGACGAATGTCATCATAAAGCCCTGCAATAAAACAACCAATGCGGAAATTTTTGGGTAGGCTGTCAACGCGATGAGAAAGCTTTACAAAAGCTTCCTGATAAGTTGCAATAGTTGAGTCTTGTTTAAGCGAGTTAGGGCTTCCAACGGGTCTTCGAAGTCTGTGGCCAAAACGGAGAAGGACAGCTTTGGTGAATTCATCCCATGTAAGTGGTTCGCGAAATTTCGTCAACCACCTGTGCCATTGCAGGGTGATGTCTTCTAAATGGAAGGAGGCCAGTTGAACTTGTTGGTCTAGTGCAATGTTCTTGAAGTCTAAGTATTGCTCTACCTTGTAAATCTAGCATGTTAGGTCGTCTCCGTTAAATTTTGGGAAGGACAACTTGAACTGTTGATGAGAGTGGTCATTGATAGTGTTAGAATGAGAAGTATGTGGGTGAGAGGATTCAACACGTGGGCTAGTGTTTTGACTATGGGAGGCTCGAAGAGCTTGAAGCTCAGTTAACACTTCCTGTAAGGTTGCATTCACATGATCGAAATTAATCTCTTTCGTGCTAAGATTTCGTTGACATCGTTGCAGAATTCTACATTTGTTTTGCCGCGAGTGTCCACGGTCAGAACCTGCTCTGATACCAATGATGTGTTTGAATTTGATAAAGGAAGAAGAAGAGGAACAGAGGAAGAAGATAAAGAGAAGAACTCAAGGATAAGCAACAATAATTCTCACTCCTCCCATCCTCTCCATTACAATAACTATAATAACTACACTAATATTATCTCTACCCACTAACACCACTCTTCTCTCTACAACTACCCACTAACACCACTCTTCTCTCTACAACTACCCACTTATCCATGTTGTGAATATTAGTTGCACGTATCAAAGTGTTGTGTGTGTGTGGTGCCATGCACACAAACGAACAAAATACAAAATCATATATGATTGAACCACCTCAAGTGAAAACCCTCTTTTCGTTGCAAGTTCAAGAAACTAAGGAGGCGGGCTGACCATGAGAGACGTGCCCATTCTATGAACTTCAGTTGTTCGAAAAGTCTAGCTAAAGCTAAAAGGACCTATAAGCATGTAAATTGTAGAGAGCTCTAAAGAGAAATCAATGTAAGGCTAGCATGAACCTGAAGTCCCTCTTTCATTTGGAGGTTAAAAACCACCGAGTGCTCTTCTCAAGAGGAAAACAGAAGGAGGTCCTTTCGATGGTGTAAGTACCAACACTAAGAAAAAAAATCAGAGAAATGACTGCGGAGAACTTTGTTATTATTCAAGAGCTGAACACATGATTCGAATAAAGAAGATGATCATAATGTCAATAAATTTGGAGCATCCAAGGTCGAAACACTTGAAGAAGAAGAGGAAGATCTAATCCTCTGCCAAGGAATTAACTTACGATGGTAAGTCTTCAGCCAACGACTCTATATGAAGGAAGATCAAGGACTGCAATCTAAGAATACACCCAAAAAATGGTTTCACTTGATCTTCTTGTCCTAGCATATATGATTTTCTATAGAAAGCCCTTGGTATAAGAGCCCTCTATTGACCTCCTAATCGCTCTTACGCCGTACTCTTGCTAACATATCAAACCCGATCAAACTCTTCAAACTTTAATTTCGTCTTGGCATTGTCGTATCATATGAATTCTCACATGCTTTCTCTTCTAACATGTAGTCTTGTCAATTTACTCTTCTTGCATGGAGTCTCCCTGGCCTCTCCTTGAATATAGTCTTTCCGACATCATCTTCTTTCATGCAATCCTGCTAGTCGATCTCTTCTTCTTGCATGCAGCTCCTCCGACTTCCTCTTCTCACACACAATCTCATTAGTTTTCTCTACTTGCACGCAATTTTGTAAACCTTATATTCTCACACGTATTCCTATCAACCTCTTTTTCTCGCGTGTAATATTGTTGACCTCTTCTCATGAGCAACCTTATCAATTTAACCAAGGCGCTTAAGAGGCGATCACCTAAAGCGTGAGGCTCCTCGGTGTGATGAAATGCCGCCTCACATGTATTGCGGTGCGATGCACTTCACTGAGGAGCGTGCCTCAGTGAGCTTGCAAAGTACATAGCGCTTCAGTGTAGGAGCTTAGAGGTGTTGCCTCAGTGAAGTGTTGCGTAACTTGGGTTATTTTGAAGAGGGTATTTTATCTGTATTTTCCCTAATTTAAACTAACGCGCTTCACTTGTAATTCCAAATCCCTTACTGCATCCTCTCTTCACCCTAATCTCCCAAGCAGCTAAGCTAGTGAATAAAAGAAACTAGGGGATCGTCCTTCAAATGTCTGCTTGTGCGGCTTCAGTAAGCCCGTTCGGCGAGTAGCGA